AAGAATTTTTTTTACTGCGAAATGTCACCTTTCCAACGAGCGTAAATATGAAATTGTTTGATCGATACTTTACGAGAAATCTATCAGTGCAACCATCTACCGAAAAAATAATGGATTTCTTTATCCCCAAACTAATATATACACATATATTTACATATTATATATTTATATATAATATTTACATTATATACATTTGTAAAAGATCATGAGAAAAAGAGACCAATTAAGAGTAAGAGTGTCTGAAAGACATCTACAGTCTCTTTTTCAAACACTGCTTGATATATGCAACTTATCTTATGCACATATATCTGCGTAATATATCTGTTTCCTCAACCATTTTAATTAAATCTGTTTTTCGCGTAACAAACACATTCATTCACGATACGTCTTAATTTACATTCTTCAGGTATTATGTTTCAATTCATATTTTTTATGACAGCATTTGGTAGATAATTGTTACAGGGTTGCTTTGGTTGCTTTGGCTATTATGGGATTCATGGGGTGATCATTTGGTTTTGACTACTATTTTGAAACAAGTTTTGGCAGGGTCTAATAAGCTAAAAGTCGGTGTATTATTCCTGTTTTTACGTTGTTACTCACGGCTTCTCTTGTGTTTACATAAAATATTCTTCACACGATCAGCTGCGAATAATTTGCTTTTCAAGCCATACAATTGGGGGTTTCTTTTTAAAATCAATATTGAATTGATTAATATGTAGTTATTTTCACGGAAGTACCAATAATATAAAAATTTGGAGAATATTTTATTTAAATTTTTTTCCATTAAAATGCTTACAATTTTCACAAAAAATGGAAGGTTCGTTTTCATTGCTGTTGTAGCTAAATATAACACGTTTTTGGTTATAGGCATCTTTACTTTGTTACTATCATATGGTTATTTGCACATGTGTGTATATTTTTGTGTTAACAAATTAATTACAAAAAATATTTTTTAAAAGAAAATATTTATGGCAATATGGTGCCTAAATATATTGCAAGTCGCGGATTAATTGTTGAAAGTTAGGTTGTGGTCTCTCATTTCAATTATATCTGCCTGCGTTGACGCTCCTTCAAAGTTTATGAGAAAATGCGTGAGAGGTAAGCACACGTATAGATAAATAAATGGATAGAGAGATAAATAGATAAATAGATAGATATACAGATAGATAAGTGAATAGATACATAGACAAACAGGTATATAGATAGATACAGGGATAGATAGATAGATACATAGATAGATAGACGGAGAGAGAGAGAGAGAAAGTTAAAAAACGTTTTCTATGTTATCTTTTTAATTTTTTGAAGTTTAGATCAGTGAGATAACGATCAGTTGTCGGATGAATATAAGCAGAATATTCGTAATTACGCGGTTGCTTGGAAACACTGTGTGGAGTCGTTGGCTTATAAATGCGACTATTAAATTTTTTTGTTTTTATAAAAAAGAATTTTATTATATACACATATATTTTCAATTAAAGAAGCAAATGAGTTGTTTTGTTAATATTGTTAACTCGATAATTATGCACATGTGTATATTGTTTTCGTTGATACTTAAAAGATGATAACAACGCTTAGCCGTTTTTAAAGTGAATCAAATTTTTGTTATAGTCTACACATAAATTATCTATTTAAGTGATAAAAAAATGAAACATATAGTAATTGAACTATAAAGCAAGTGTAATAGTGTGAATAGGCAATTCCTATTTCAATTCTATTTTTAAAAGAGAACTTTCTTTATCTTGCAAAAAAAATTGATTAGTATATTTCCGCTCTTCGCCTGAGGATATACTAAATTAGTCACATAGTTTGTGTGACAAATCGAAATTGTGTTGCTGTGCGTTGAAGCTAGGGCACAGCCCTATTTAATCATTTAGACGTTAAAAATTCAGTCTTTTCAGAGAATACGTTTATTGTTTAAAGTCACATTAAACGTTAACAAATCTTTAATTCTTTCTTACTCTTCCGAACAAGTTATGTATAGGGAAGACCGGTTGTAAAATCAGAGTTTTTTGAAAAAATTTTCGTTTTTTACTGCAAGACAATTGCCTTCTGTTTGAATTACTAATTTGCTATTTAGGCTTTGTATCAGGTTGTCGGTTACAATATAAAACACCGATATTATATACGATAATATATTTGGAAACCGTTTTTCAGCAATTACCTTTCGTCCTATTAATGTGAACATCACAAATGAATTGCACACTTCTCAAAATAAACTACTCTACATTGTTTAAAGCAAATTCTTCGCGTCTATCCACTGAAGTGGATATACCAGTACTTCTTTCTTTACGACGATTGTTATGAAATTATCATACCATCTGCAATCGCGGTCAATCTTATGCGCGCTTGTCTTTGTTTTGTTTTCATTTGCTTCAAGCTGCTTTCCAAAATGTGTACTTTCGACATCAAAATTTCTCAGAACGGTTTTTTTCAAATCCGTCTGGCGTTCTCTCAATACACATTCAATTATCTTTATTTTACTTGAGCAGCACTTTTCCGATAATAAAAAAGCTAAACTATGTGGGAAACGCTGCTTTCGACTTCCTGCACTAAACGGGGCGCAAAACAAAAATTATTCTGCAGAATCAAACAATCTTTTCCATAAACAAACCCTGCTTTGTCAGTTATCAAAATATATATTGCCAATGCGGCATAATTATGAACTTAACTATGAAAAAATACCATTTGGTTCTCCGTTGGGAAACAACGAGCCTACTTTCCGAACACAATAATATGAGAGGAATTTGTTGGCAATACCATCTACGGGTATAGCTGCCATCTTTTGTTGATCTGTTTATCTCTCAACAATCTATATAAATTCCACGTTTTGTCACATGTAGCACGTACATATCTTCTCAAATAAAAAATTGATATTTTTAGAAATTGCCAAACCTAGGGCAATGTCTGTCAAAATTTCATGTCATTTCTTTCGCGGATTATAGTGAGTTTGCTGACGCCTACCTTCGTTGCTTTCAAAACAATAGAACAATTTTCCACGTGTTTATCAAACATTGCTTTTTGATGAAAAGAACACAATTAAAATTCTGTTGCGACGAATCTTCTTCATCGAAAACAAGAATTTTTCGTTCCACTGATTTTAAACGAGATCGTGCGAACTCCGATGGTACTGTATGCAGTGGGTCGACGAAGGCAATGGTGATAACGATAAGTGGAATTCTGCAAAAATGATTCATAAGCTTCGTTATTTCCTCAAAGCAGTTTTGGATATGTATATATTTTCCCTTTTCTGTAGATTTTTGGCTTTAGATTATATAATTAATTAATTATTTTGCAGCTTCGTGCAGTAATCGTGGCTTCATACAGGACTGTCTGCTGCTACCACGTCTGAGTTGTGTGCGTTGTGTGATGACTTTATCATTAATAATTTTTAACCTGCTTCACGATTTGTTTATCGCGCTGCTAGCAACCTTTTTTTTAAATTCTTTGAATTCTAATAGTTATCTTCGAATCTTAGTTCTTCACTAAGAGCTGTATTTTTATAAAATTAGCTATATATGCTTGTAATACATGTGTACATATTTGATTTCGAATTGGTGCTCCCTCCATATGTCTGCATCTTACATGTGTACCATCTAACATTTGGTTTTTTTTTATCGTGAATTAATTTACTGTGTTTTCCTTTTTTGGTGTATTCGTTAACTGTTACTTCGTTTCAAATAGTTTAGGTTATGATATCTACCTTAACAAATTGTCGTGTTATCAAGAATACATGGTAATAAAATAAAAAAATCCCGGTTTTTTTTTTGTAGAATATTGACAAACATAGAGCATGCGAATCAAATACTCGTCATTTTCACAAAATAATAGTTTTATTATAAAATTAGTAACGAAATTATATTCGTCTTAGATTGAATCATTTATATCTATGACCTCAAGCAAATATATTAACCTTCGCAAGCCCAAAGCCTCTTACATACGTGAAGATACGAAACTCGTCCGAGTAGGTACTCTATATTTGGGCATATTTTGCGTGCTAAGCGTGGTAGTAACACACCATTACTTCGAAAATTATTATTGTAAGAGGGCAAAAAAAAAAAGAAAAAGTAGAGAAAAAGGGGTAGAAAGCGAGGTTACGCTCAAAAGAACAAGGAGTGTGCGCCAATAAAACACATATTTGAAATGATTAACTCACACTTGAAATATCAGCCCATTCCATTGTGAAGGAAAAGTTGTTTGCATTGAGAAGTCGAACCACATTTACGCGACACACGTTGTCGAAGTCAGCAAACTACGGTATAAAAATCTGATGGGCTTGCGACTCAGGAACATACTATCCGTTGGATGGGCAAATATATATTTATAAGATTAGGAACGCGAAGGAACGTGAACGTTTGGTTAAGTATTTGGTGGTGTCGTACAAGGGAACGGGTAGAAAAGGGACGGGGGACTATTTCCTACCACTGGCCGAGGAATTGTTCTTTGGAAGCTGATAATAATTGGCACTTGGACAAAAAATAAAAGAAATTTGCCACAACAACCATCGTTGGGTTTTCCAAAAATATTATAATAATTCAAGGAGATCCAGTCATTAATATATTGCTTAGGAATTCACCGCAGACAAATTACCGCAAAAGGATGCTCGTGGTCGAATTAAGCAGATAAGAAAATGTTAAATGTAACGTGAAAGCAAGAACTTGAAAAATAATCATCTATTTTCCGCTGCAATTTGAGGTAATTTTGCTCGAAATTTTTAAGGAATTTGATATATGTTAGACAATAGATGCAAAAAACGCTTACAAAAATAATTTCTTTACATTATTACAAAATAGCGACAGCAATCTAATATTCTGGTCCAATTCACCCGGGTGGGTTTTTGGGCGACAGCGTAGAAAAAGGCAAAAACTTAAAAAATTGTTTGCAAAGGGCTTCAAATTTTAAAAACTTGCGCTTTTTCTGAAAGAAGTAAAAAAACCAGTCACTATGCTAAAAGTTTAGGTGATATTTGGGCGTGCGAAGGTTAAGGTTGCAAAATAATTTGTTAATTCTTATCTTCTAGTTTAGCTTACAAAATATTGGCAGAAAGTTGTAGGCGAATGCTTTGCATAGCGAGTACATTGCTAGTTACCGTTTTGACAGAGCACCTCGCTATGTTCACCTAAGTTGGACCCCCACTATTCTTTTAAAAATTGCGCGTTACGGTTTTTCACATATCGTGCGTGAGCTTAGTTAGGTTACATTTAATTTCACACACGATCTGTGGCCACCAAGTAAAAGGGAACGAAGTCTTAAATTTCTATCCTTGTTTTTGCGCCCATGATTATTGCTTCAAAAGAGGCGATCAGAGTGGCAGGGTTATATCGATTGGTAATTTTATGGCATTTTATGGGATTCCTAATGCATTTTTCGTGGTGTTGCAAACCGAAACGCAAACATAGTATATCCTCATCTTTCATTGGTGAGTATAAATATAGATAACTTGTAATCGTTTAAGTATATGATTGTGAAGTATTAATTTTAGAAACTGTCAGGTAACGAAGCTCTGTTTACCTTGAAATTTATTTTAGATGACTATCCAATACATGAATAAAAATCGTTTACGTTTATATTTATTTAGTGAAGAGATTGGGAACTTTTATACTAAAATTATTAAGCTTCCTCTAACAACAAGCTACTTCGATATTTGAAGATGTAATTGTCTTACGTTTCGTCTTAGCTTATTGAAATTAATGCTGTCTCATCATTAAAATGAATTATTTTTTTTTAATTTGAAGCATACATAGCCCAAGTGGCAGAACGAGTGACCCAAGTAACGCAATTACTTTACTCTGCTTTTTGTCCTAGGTAATCTTCAATATTGAAAGAGTAATTTGTATTTAGGCTGCCAGAGTTAACATTGATTATAGCAACACTAAAAACTTTAGGAAGTTAAAATGTAGAACGTAACATTGAAATTAAAATAATCATAAAATCAATTAAAATTGCTGCAGATAACAAACTGCTTGATTTTGAATGTGACTACATTTGTTATTTATTGTTTGCTTCGTTAACTAAATATTGCTTTTGAAAGATCGCAAAACATTGCACCAACAAAATATTTCCAAAAATTGCCAATGAAAAAAAGCGCGACAAGTCTGGAAGAGGAAAACGATGAATGAATTCATTCCGATTGCAATATTTACGTATCGCCAATATGAAGGATCTTTTTGGTAAAGTGGTTGAAAATAATTTGCAAGTCTTGAGAAAATATATTTAAATATGGAACGCGGATAAAATTATTTAGTGTAATAGGAGTGCAGTGGAAGTGTAAGTTCGTTTTAGAGAAACTTTCCGGTCATAAATTAAGTTTTTTAATTCCGTTAACCTCTTTGTTGTTGAGAAAACATATCGATACTGATTTTCGGCCCAATTTGATAATACAGTTGTTGGTATTATGTTTACTGAAATATTGTTAGTGAAATATTGTTAATTTTGAGTTCCACTCTAGGATTTAAAATTGAAGAAAATATAAACTCTCATAACGTTTATTAATTCAGTCAAGAATGCTTTGTCATCAGTCTCAAGATATGATTATAGAAACTAAATATTTATTTTTTGAATTTCGGTTATGGAATTATAATTAATACCCATAAGAAACCTAAAAGTTGAAGCACTCATTTCCGAGCGCAACGTCATATTTTTGCCAAAGAATAAGGGAAATAAACGGAAGGGTCCGCAATTTCAGAATCAAAGGATCGGAGTAAAAAAAATCCAGTCGACCAACTTATACGCCCGCAAACTAGAATATTTTTTAAAGTTAAAATCAATCAAGAAGTAAATTATTGGATACGTATGGAAGCGGGGATGGACAGAACGCCCTTGCCCAAACAGTTTTGCAAAATTTGGTTTCGGCTATTTTGCTTCCGTTGTGGAAGGTCAGTAGGCGCTGATAAAGCCAAATTGAGGCAAACTGCCCAATGACAGCTCGTGTGATTACTGAAAGCTTAAATCTATTGAATCCTAACGTTCTTGATAAAATATTTATACACACTATAAAGAAATTGACTTTTGTTTTGTCCAAAAAAACAAAATTTCTTTCAAAATCACTCAATAGTTACCACGTAAAAGCACACGTACGTCACACTAAAACAAATTACGAAACTTGACAACAACGCGTTATTGAAGTTTTATAAACTTGAGCTTGTTGCTCAAGTATTAAATCGATCTGCTGATGAAAAATATATTACAAAATTACTGAATTTTTGTTATTATACATTTTTCCCACATATTTTTAGTATTCAGTTTTATTTACAATTCTTAATTTTACAAATGAATTATTTACTGATTTATATTTGCATTAGTGCTTCTACTTCTCTTGTCCGCTCGAGCATTACAACTCAGCTCTCTTGATTCGACTGCCTATGTCTTCCGAAAAAGCCTCGCTCACACACATTTTTATAAGGAAACTATCAATGCTACATATCATAATGCTGTATTTCGTTTGTCATTTCAAGAACTTTAATTCCTAGGAAATCACGTAGTTTTTTTCTATCAGACATATGATTTTCGTAAGAATGTTAGAAGTTGTTTAAAATTTCCTTTTAAGCGAGAATTTCAGATTTATTTATTTTGAAAATTTACTGAAATTTGTATTTTAGTTACCAACGATAGCTGGATCGACGGCTTAATGGTAACGTAGTTTAGCATTACAATTAACTTTATTTTTCTTTTTTTTATAAATTGTCTGGAGAGTTAGCATCAACAGATTTGCATTTTTAAATTTTGATATTTTAAATGAAATAAGTTAATCTATCAAGTCACGTTTTCTATATTAAGCAAATGAAAAATAATAAAACTTTTGTTAAAGATATTGATCTATTTATAAATTAATTTTAAAAGTTTTCGCAATGCTTTTCAATTTAAATTAAACATTTTAGTAATTTTTTATGAGAATTTATAACCAATAAATATATCAAACAAAGTTTCGCAAACGTTTGCTAAGCATACTCAGAAATCACAAAAGAGTTTCATATTTTACACTCACATACTTAACGTGATTTCAGCTTTGCAAATAATATCGGCGTAAACATCATTCAAGTTGTAATCTTGAAATGACTTTGTGAGATTTAAATTGTTACGTGTCTTCTGAAGAAACATTCATTGCTTTCTTAATAGCTGTAAATTACAATTAAAACTGTTCTTCAAAGAGAATTGATTATGCAGGCTAAATGCAAAAATAATTGATAACTAAATCTCAAACAATCGGTTGATAAAGTTTACGAGTAGAACCTGCCATTTTTATAAAGAGAAAGAAGTGGGATATGAGTGTGGAAATCACCGCTGTAAGCGGACACACTCGAAAAATAACGTAGTCAGAATGTTAATAAATTTGCATTTCGCGTAAAAAATTGAAATTTCATATTTCTTCATGTCCTTATAAAGAATATATTAAATTAGCAAAATGTCAAAACTTTTATTGTATATGTTGTAATTTATCTGTAGTGAACAAAAACGCTATTAATTTACACAAAAACAAGTAAGGAAATAACATATGGCCGTGGCCGAAACTTTCGTACCCATCAACTATTTTTGTCTTATACACCCATCATCAGTTTTCGTATTTTTTTAGAGTAAAACCGGACATTTTGATCGTGTGCTTAGTGTAGCTTATGAGTAATCAGCCAAAAACACGGAAAATAAGATTGTTCTGTGCCTGTCCATGAATTATTATGCTCAACTTACAGGTTAGAAATTTTTGAGATATAATAAAATTGGGTACACTAGGGTGTTTTGGCTTAAGTATGAAACATTTTGAAAATGGATTGGCTCCAATTCCCATGACTCTCTTTATTATGGAAAAGTGGTTACTTAAAAAAGAATGCAATTTTTCATATTTCTAGAAAAAAGTCACTAAATGATACATTTCGGTATTCTAATTTGATGTGAAAAATTTTAAGTGAACATTTTTTGAACCGGAGTAGCGTGTAAAAGAAAATTTTTTTCTTGTATTCGTACACACTTCAAACTAATTAAGTTTTTGGCTTCATGCTTATCTTATACAAAGAATTTAAAGCTTAAGAAAACTGACAATGGAATGAATTCCAAAATTTAAAAGACTAAATTAGATAAGATAAATTATTTTAGTTTTTTAGCATTTAACTTGTCTATCTCTTGTATGATAAAATCGATATACTTACCACCACTTTCCCATATTAGTCCTTATTTGATACGCGTTTTTTGTTGGATCGAACAATTGAAATAAGCGCTATAAATTAACGAATTCAGGCTGCAAAGGCATGAAACAATTTCAACTTCGACAACATGTATCGCGGTAAATTGTATGTTAGAGCAACAAAACTATTTTTTTGTTAAACAGAATTACAAAATGTCAAAAACATTGGCTTTTGGCCAAAGACCCGTAATATTTGAGTGCATTATCAAGAATACAAGTTCTTTATTATGTTCTTAATCGACACTTATGGACATAAGGGCGGATTGAGAACACCGTCGCTTGTTGTGATGGTAAAATATCTAAAAAATCTGATCATGAATTGCTTTGAACTTACATAGAAAATCTTTAAATACCTTTAATATAATAAAAACCGGTTTTCCTTATGAAAGTCATTGACTGCTCAAATGTTGACAAAACAAGATTAGAATAAAGAATTTTTAAACTCAATTTCTTAGTGCATTGGCATATGCCAACTAACTCAATACTTTTTCTTTTTATTACGTTTGAAAAACGTGTAAATATCCTGTGCGCATCTATTATAATATGTATCATACGGAGCAACTTTGAATCCTGCACTATTTTCTCTGAATGCTGATCACCTTTCCAAGTTTCACATTTGTAAAAATTCGTGTTAAAAAATATCGTTGTTGTCCGAAACCGATACGCTATCAAAACGAACAAATAACCAATTTATATTTACTTACAGATGAATTTCGAATTCTCACATATTTATGCAAAGCATTTTGTTCATTATGGACATATAGGCTGCCATATGTTCGTATAGTCGCTCTTAGATGGCACTCACAAATATTAGTACGAGATGGACGGATGAAAACGCTTAAAGTTGTTAAAACTTCGGGTGTTTAAAAAATTTGAAAGTATAATAAAAAGCTACATAAATATCCATTCAAGGAGAGATACACAAAAGGAAGTAGTTCAAATATTTTTCTACATATTACAGCACCGGTTTGAAGTTGACGTACGCTTCTTAGAGTTACGGCTACGAAAGCTTATCCCGAGTTATGATGCTGACGGTCTTGAGTCAGGGCAAATATTGATTTTATGCCAAATGAGAACTTGGGAGTTTTTGGAAAATTGATAATAAAATTTCGCAATCCTGATCTCTCATATATAGATATAGCCAATGTGAGGAAACTTAGTTTGAAAATTGTTAACAATCTCAGATATTATTTACATAGGTTACGTTTTACCAAAAGAGCATGTCTTGCTAATATTTCCAAAAGAAT